TTCTTAATACAACATAAGGGCCGGCAAATTTATGTGATGGTTTACCGAGTGGTCGGTCGACATCCGGGTCTCTTTAATCTGCGTTGATGTCTGATAGTCACCTCGGTCCACAATTTCGGCGGAATCAGAGTTGACGACGTGCCCCATCTCTGCAGCATGGGTTGCGTCCTCTGACGTTGGGTTCAGCCTTCTTACCATCAGCTGAGGCTCGTGCATTCGCGTTTGTAGCTGACGGCCGGTTTATCCAGCGTAGTTATACATCCCGACACTGCAGTGAACAATGCTACAATAATTTTGGGCCGTACTGTAGTTTAGAGTAAGTATTAACTGCAGGGTTGCGGTTTGGATTTACGGTAGGGCTAGTGTTACCGGTATGACACGGGAATAATTGCCCCTTTACCATTTATTACATGGGCGGGGCGTTCATAACCTCGTGGCTTGATGACGGAGTCATATGAGTAATCGACTGAAGTTCTCGTAATGCGTTCCATAAAAAGGATACCTAGAGGAGACACCCAAATGCCGACCAAATTACTTGCAGACTTTTTGGAGAGATAGTTCAGTCCTCAAGAGAAAACTTATGGACGACATAAGGGCAATCCACCGTCTGTTCTTCTCATCATCAAGGACATAAACTAGAAGTCCTGATATCTGCACCTTTTGGGGCGCACTACTTGGGATAAATTACCTCATAATGCTACGCTGTTAACAATTCTGTTTTCTCTTGCACGAATTTCAGAAAAGAGGTGAAAAAAAGAAGCAACCAGTATTATGGTTCACTCTGGATCACCGTCAAGAAAAGAAAAGCCTGTAGTCGAAGCCGGCATCGGGTCCTAATTCCCTCTAGCAATCTGCATTATGTCCTGAATATGGTGGTGTGTGGTATCACTGTAAGGGGTGGGAGGTGGACGACAAGAATCCTTCTTCGTTTACCTTCAACTACCACCTCCACAGCATCGTTGTTGGTGGCAGGTGGTTAAAGTGAATTAGAATACGACTAGCGAAAATGAAAGGTAGGCTAGGTGCACTGCCGTAAATTGTGAGCCTATTCGTAGCCGTTTCTCGCCTTCTGGATCTACAGTACGTTGGTCTTTTACGCAGAACCCAAATTACAAAGAAACGTCTGGCCATGAGAGCCAAGGCCTTCCGATATGGGATGAAACGGCCGGGGCCACCTATGGTGTCCAGTGCTGTTTTAACTTGCCGAATAATTGATAAATCAACTGACTGATCTATTGAATTCGAGGTTTACAACCTGCAAGCTGTGTACATTCTGTTTAAAGAAATGTACGTTTTCGACTATGGTTTGAGAGAGAAGTCACACAGTTCCCATAAAGTGATGCAGTAGATGGTGATTTTACTGTAGCATTATAGGCAGCATTAATAAATTGAGGAGTGTGATTTCTAATGAATAAACACCTCAAAATCGTAAAAAAACTCATAATTAGAAACTTTTTTAAGCCGAAAGATACCCCTTCTTTAAGAATAAAATTTTAGAAACCGTGATTTCCTACAAAACGAGTGCAAACAATGTTTTTTTGTGCATTTTTTTCATAAAATATATTTGGATTTTTAAGGGCAGTCAAAATGAATGATATGAATGCATACTAATTTAGTAGCCACTTTTTCTGTTCATAAGTGTTGTTGACAGTCAAAAAGAAGCTCGTTAAAAAGCTGGCATCCAATCGTGACTGAATTGACTACAGAATACACTACGTGATAAATAATAATACAAACTTACTCAATGCGATATACGAAGGACTATGAATCTTTTGCATATGTGGGCATTTTACACCAATTCTAGGCCGTACTGCATAACTCCCCCCACCCCTACCACCTGTGTGGACACAATCCCCACCTGCGCTTATTTCAATTTCGCATCGGCTGGGATCATCATCTCTGAATCCATCGCCATGCTACCTGAATACTCTTTCCTAGACATACTGACATTCACATTCTCTCTACAGCCTATTTGCTCACCAATGCCTTAGGGTACTCACGC